TTTCCCTTTGTCCCTGGAGCACCTGGATGCTGTGTTGCCAGCACAGAAAGTCTCTTGGACTTGGCCTTTTAGCTCCCTTCCACTTTCTTGTTGCTCTCTCTTATTTCATAAAGGCCGTGACTTCTTGAGGGCACTAAGCAGGTTTCTCATAAAACTGTATTATGGGGCCAGCAGGGGGTGCAGAGGTTATAGCGCTGGATACCACATGGCTGACTCTGCAGTTTGAGTCATGGACCCAGTGACTTGAGGAACATGCCAGGTGTGTATGTGTGCATGTCTAGGATTGGGGGGAGGGGGGCAAAATGGAGGAGAAAGGATTGTAGTATGACCATCCCCCCATCCCCACTTCTGTCTTTCTCTGTCTCTCCCGTTAGTACACATGCCTTACGGCAAAAATCTAAAAAAAAAAAAAAAATTAAATCATAATAAATAAATAAAATTTAAGATTTTATTATGTTATTCGTAGCAAATAATTTTCATTTTTTTAAGTGAGGTTTTGCTAAGTAAATGTAAGTGGAGATATATGCCTAACAGAGGGAAAAACATACGTACAAGTGCAGAGGAGAGAGCCACTGCATGGGGGCAAGGCTGGAAGGGTGATGTGAAGGGGAGTGATTAACCTGCTCTGCGCAGTGATACGGTTGCACTGGATATTAAGGATTGGAAGGCTTGAGGGCGAGTGGCTGACAAGAGCTTGGACAAGGCCCAGGAGATGGAGGCTCTTCTTGCTGATCTGACACATTCAAATGTATTTTCTCAAATCAGGTGCATAGGCTAAGTGACATCTTCGGATTTACCCCTGTGGGAGATGACAGAGAAGGGAGGCCTGGAGATGATGAAAATATGAAGGGAGAAAAAAAGCAGGGCTAATGAAGAGAGAGACAGGAAGAAGGAAGAAATAGGAGACCTAGAGGACTGGGCAAGGGAGCACCATTCTCGGAGGCATTGGGAACGTGTGGAGAGTGGGCTTTGGGGTAACCCTCTTGGTGGATCTCTGCCTCTGCAGAGGGGTCCGCAAGCCTTGGGAAATCCTGGCATCCTTCCCCAAAGGCTATGAAATGATCATGGAATATCTGCTCCAGAGGCTGACTCCACACCAGAGACTGAAAGGCCAGGCGTCCAGCCACAAAACAGAGATCTCTCCGTTGATTGTATGGAGGGGACCAGCAGAGGGGTTTGGGTGCTGGGGAGGGGAACCCCTGGGGCCCTGCTCTGGCCATCTCGAGCTCTTTGTGCCTTTTTGTTTGAATGTCCTTAAGACAGAATCTTGGGGTGGGTTGGAGGGAAGGTTTCCCAGTTGACTTTGCCCTGTCAGGGAGACAGAAGAACTAGACTCTAGTTCTTGGGTGCTGAGCTGAGGTCTGACAAACACCCCATCCACTTCCTAACTCTCAAGGATGGCAAGAACAAGACAAATTCTGTGAATATAAAAGGAAGTTGAGGCAAGGATATTCTAGAAAGTACCCTTTCTCTTTTGACTCTTCCCCATTTAGACTTCACTTGCCCTAATAGCATGGGTTTGCTGGGCAAGGACACCCTGGTGTCTGGTTGGGGAGATTTCCTGATGTGGGACCTCTGAGCTGAAGAGAGAGATGCTAACGCCCCCACCCCTCCTGACCAGGCGACCAGGGCCATTCACGAGCTCTTGCTGGAGCCCAGCCGGCGGATGGAGGTGCAGACCTTCTTCTCGTCCCTGTTCATGGCCCTGCTCTTCCAGAGCTCCTCTCTCGTGGTTAAAGGAGATACTGAAAGTCTTCAGGATTGGCAGCACATAACCGAATGGGTGGACCCCATCAGGTATCTTTGGCCCATGGGGCAGTTTGCTAGCGACTGTGTTCTGGGGCCTATCGGCTTAGCACCTCACCTGGCTTGGTCCCAGTCTGCGGGGCCTGAACACCCTCATCACACCCTCCTACCAGGGCAATTAGTATGTCCCCTCACATCATTTCAGAGTCTTCCTGGACACAGACTTTTTCTTTAAATCAGGCTATTTCAGAGTCTTCCTGGACACAGACTTTTTCTGGAAATCAGGCCTCGCAGGCTGAACCAAAGTGAAATTGGTACCGTAGAAAAACGACACGCCTACATCCTCAGACCTGGCTCTCTTCTGCTGGCTTCCCGTGTTACCTTGGAGACCCATATCTCTCTTGGCCTCGGTTGCCTTGTTAATAGACATTAGGTTGGGTCTCTAAGGGGAGTCCCACCCCAAGAGGTTCATGATTCTAAGGGAGGGCAGGAATTTGGGCAGGTGCTAAGCGGGGAGGGGGCACAGCTGGTGGGTGACTCCCTGTCTTCCCAGTTCCACCGTGGAGGCCCTGAAGACCTTAATGCGAAGTTCTGGGTATGGAGAGCATGTGTCTTATATTCAGAATCTCGGGGGCTGGGAGCTGCTCACCGATCCGGAACGACACTACGATGGAGTCATTGTGCTGGCCAGGTAGGCTGCACCTAGCCCCTGGCTGGAGGACCTTGCATCCTCCTGGCCGTCTCTGTGGCCCAGGCCTTGGGCCTCGTCCTGAGCCCCGAGTTCTGGTCGCAGGTCCCTGGCTGTAAAGAACTGTTGGCACAACCGCCCCATCTTCAGCTTCATCATCAGGAGCCTCCAGGACCAGGACTGCGAGTGTCACCTAACAGCGCTCGTGTTCCTCACAGAGGTGATGGGCTCTCGTTGGGAGGAGGCGGGCAGGTGAGGGTGGTCCCTCTGGAAAGGGGCTGTACCCAGGGGACACTTCCAGGGAAGGCCGCTGGGGAGCTGGGGAGGACTGACTGATTGTCACTGCCTCAAGGAAGGGCTGGGGGACAGTGCTAACAACCTGAAGTCACGGGCTTTGATTTCCCCTTGAAACTCCGGCAGTTCGACTCTGCCCTGACCTTAAGGAACAATGGCTCTTTCCTTCAGCCACCTCAGTCTCCATCAGCCCTTTCATATATATGCATGTTAAAGTTTATTTCTCCCATGAGTAGTAGAAACAGAGATACAGATATTGCTCCCCCATCGGGGTCTTCCCAGTCTCAGTCAGCCCCAGCTCAGGGTATGTGTGGACCCAGCACATGCAGGGAGGTCTCCAGACAAACGCAGAACCTCCCACGTGGGTCAGCCTTGCGCGGCATCGCCTCATACTGCTGTACGACCTTCAAGCTCTGCTCCGCCTTTGAAAGCTACTCTTTGCCCAGCACCCCTGACTGACTCAGCGTAATTCAGTTCCCCGGCAGAAAAATAAAAATAGAGGGAATTTAGAATATATGGAAAAGTATACCAGAAACGATACAGCCACTGATAATCATCATTAATAATTGCAAAGGAGATCACCTTCGGGTATTTGCCTGTATGGAGAGCTGAGAGAGAGAGGGAGAGGGGAGTGGAGGTCATTGTCTGCTAATACCCTGTTGCTTGCTCTCTTTAAGCATCTTCCTATGTCATTACACGGTCTTTGAAACGTTCATTTGAGTGGCGATGCGATATTTCATGGCCGAAATGTTTTCTCATTTATGGACACTCCGTTTCTAATTTTACACTATTATATTAGGTTGTCAAAAAAGTCATGGTGTATTTTTGCATGGAAAGACATAGAAAAATACATCGCGACTTCTCCAACACACGAATAAATGACGCTGCCGTGAATCTCTCCATGGAGAAGTCTTTGCTCATGTTTCATATTAATTCTGAAATGTTAAGTAGAATATATGGAAATACGGGTCTTTTATGACTTTTGATGCTAATGCCAAATTGCTGCTGAGTCAGGTTGCAGCAGTTGACACTTCCACAAGCAGTGCTTCGGAGTGTTTCAGAGTTCCTGGTTCACCACGGCTTTAAATAGGCTCCTTTTACAACATAAGGTCACCCTTATTTTTTTAGAAGTCAGGTGCTGGGTTACTTTTGAACAGAGCCCCAGAAATAGTTAATAATACAGTCTTTTTTTTTTTTTTTTGAGAGGTTTTTGCTATAGGGTGTGTGCGCTCACCAGAAAGACACAGAGAGACAGAGACAGAAAGCGAGAAATCACCCCCCAGGGAGGATAGCCATGCCACAATCCCTTCTCCTCTGTTCTCCTCTCGGGATCTTGGGCACGCACACGCATGCGCCCAGTGTGAGTTTAAGCCACCGGGTCCGAGACTCGAACCGCGGTCGACTACATGGGTGTCCAGTGACATAGCCATTATGCTAACTGCTGGTCCCGATAATACGGTCTTAATACTAGGTTATAAACAGATACTATCCTTGCATGGGTAACAGGACTCTGCATCTTGTTGGAGGGTGCTCGCTGGTATGTGGTAACGTGTACATGTTGGTACGAGGGTGCTGAGATACGTATTCAGGGATGTTGGCAAAACTCCTGTGGAGGTGAAGGGACCGAGGGCATGTAGGATATAGACCCTTGGCCGGAGGGAATGCCTTAGTGCAGTAGCTCAAACATTGGTGCACATCATGTCACTGGGCAGGCGGTTTACAGTGCAGCTTCCTGGGCCCTCCCCCAGAGACTGGGCTCGGTAGGCCTGACATAAGGCCCAGGAGCCTTCATCTCCTAAAATAGCCCCAGTGGTTGTTTGAGTACAGGTGTCCTTAGACCCAGCTTTGGGAAGCCTGAGAGGGCAGTGGTCACATGGAATGGCTGTCGCAATCTTAAAGCAGGATTCTGAAGCCTGGCCACATGGTAGACTCCTCCAGGGAGCTTTTAAACCACTCATGCCACACCCTACTCCCAGTCCCTGCCTAGTTATCTGTGTGAGTTGGTCTGGGCTGAGGTCCAGGTATTGGTTTGGTTTAGATGCTCCCAGGTGGAAAGGTGAGTTCTAGAACTAAAATGAGGACGGAGAACCACTCTGGAAGGTCCCTCAGATGTGTGAGACCCAACCCAAACAAGCGGGCCCAGAACTGAGCATTCACTCCTTGGTCTCCCTTACCGGGTCTGCAGGCTGCGGACTGAAGGGAGGGCTCGACACACTCGGGAAAGGGCTCCAAGGGGCTCCTTCACCTTCCCCTGGTCTCTTGTATTAGCAACCAAATATGTATCCACGTCCACATGCAAAGTCTCTGTCTCGCTCAACCAAGGACATTGCCATACATGTTACTGTCAACATGTTATTTCTTAGTTCTTATATATTTCGCTTTATTCCCCCCCTTGATTCCCTATCTCTCTCCCTCTGCCAGCTCCCCCCGTTCTCCCACATTGGCTCTGGTATATACAGTTGTTTTCCATACCTTTTTCTTTTTTCATATTTTATTGATGAACTAAGGATCTTAATTAATTTAAAGGCCTTCAATAGCAAGCACAGCTGATATATACATATTTAAGAATGCATGTCTGACTTTAGGCATAAACCTCAGTGAGTAAAGTGAACATACTATAAAGTAGCACCTCGCTGGGGCTATATAGCTTACTGCAGTCACTAAATAGGTGTTAATAGGTATTTTTAATGCATTTTTTAAATTTCAAAAACGTTTTAGTTTTAATAGATCAAAATAAAAAAAAATGTTAAGAGAAATTTGCTTAAAACTTAAAGCCAGGAAAAAGGTTAGGATTTAGTTCAAATAGTAGGTTAGATGAACCTATCGACAGTTCAAGACAAAAATCCTTAAATATGGAAATCAAAGCATTGAAGAAAATCAATCATGTTTTAGTCTAAAGTAAAAAAATTCAATTTCATTAGTTCAGACTCATGTAATTAATCTCTCCTCTATTGAATTTGCAGTGTTGCTGTGGTCGGATCTTTCCATTTAAACTCTGGAATTAACATTCCACTCCGGACTTGGGGCCAGCAGGTGGCATGGTGATTAAGGTGCTAGAATTCCCACATGGCTGGCCATGGTTTGAGTCCTGGACCTGGCGGCTTGCTTTCTCACTCCCCCTCTCCCTCTCTCTCCCTGTCTTTCTCTGACAAAACTCGTGTGAAAAATACTATTAACAATAATAATAATCAATAAATAATTCTTAAAAAAAAATTCGACTCTGGACTTGTCCCTACCGCTTGGCTGGCCATTCTCTTGGCTGTTTCTGTACTCTTATTTCTGTCCGACTTCAGGTTTCCTGGTGTAGCTCTCCCTCGAGCACTTCTCGGAGAGCTGGTCTGGTGCTGGTAAATTCTTTCAGGCTTTATTTATCTGAGAATGTTTATGTCTTGAGAATGTTTTTGTCTTTTTTTCCCATATGAAAGATAATCTTTCTGGGTATAGTATTCTTGGTTGAAACTGTTTTTCACTCGACACTTTGAATTTATTTTCCCATTCTTTCCTTGCTTGCATTATTTCTGATGAGAGGTCCAACGTTAGTGTTATGGGATATCCTTTGAAAGTAACTTGACGTTTCTCTCTTGCCAATTTCGGTATCTTGTCTCTGTCTGTGGTTTTGGTCAATGTGGCTATGATGTGCCTCTGGGATGATCTTTTTGGGTCAATTCTATGTGGGGTCCTTTGTGTTTCTTGGGTTTGGATATTTGAGTGCCTCCATAGGTTTGGAAAGTTTTCTTCCAAGATTGCATGGGATAGATTATCAATACCCTCATTAGTTTCTTCTCCTTCTGGGATACCAATGATCTGAATGTTTGGGTGTTTACTGGTATCTAGTATTACTCGTATGTTATTCTCATTTTGGGGGGTTATTTTCTCAGTCTTTTTGGTGAAATTTTCTAGGTCAGAGGTTCTATCTTTTACATTTGAGATTCACTCTTCTGCATGATCTAATTTGATTTTGATATTTTCACGGGAAGTTTTGATTTCCTGTATTACAGCCTTCATCTCTAACAATTCTGTTTGATTCTTTTTTGTGATGTGTATCTCCTCTTTCAGATTTTGAGAGACCTTCCTCACCTCCTGGAACTAGGTGTCTCTTTTCTCCTGCATCTTCTGGAGTTCATTGTCTCTATTCTCTTGCATCTCTGTTAGCTTTGTCACTGTGAATATTTTAAATTCTTTATCTGAATTTCCATGAGTTCCCTTGTATTCTTTGTGGAGGAAGAGGAGTTGTTCTTTTCCATTAGAGGAGAGATATTTTCTTGGTTTCATATTTCTTATGCCTCTGTGGTGGTTTCTATCATCTGATGGATTATACATTATTTCCTGACTCCTGGCTAGACTGGGGAGCAGGAGGGTGAAGTCTGGGCAGAGGATCTTCGGTAGCTGAAGTTCCCACCAACTTTTTTTTAAAGGAGAGATTTATGTATAGAGTGTGTGTGCTTGCTGGAGAGACCGAGAAGCAAGAAATGACCCCCCAGAGGCATGGCCATGCTGCAATCCCTTCTCCTCCACTCTCCTCTCAGGATTTTGGGCACACATACACATTCACCCAACATGAGTTTCAAGCTACCGGGTTCAGGACTTGAACCATGGTCAACCATGTGGGAGTGCAAGTGACGTAACCATTACACCATCTGCTGGTCCCTTCCCACAAACTTTCTGAAGTCCTCTCATATTATCCTCTCTCTGACTTCTTTTCCTTTTCTAACAAGTCGGCCATTCTGACTGACATATGCTTTGTAATGTTCCTTGGAGCCATTGCTTCTCTACTCCAATCCCTGGCCTGGCCCAGACTCTCCCTACCTGTGCTTCAAGCAGCTTCAACACGTAACATGTGGTCTCACTCCCCTTGGGGCCTGTCATACCCAGCATATCTCCCGTGCTCAGCATTTCTGACCAAGGAGGTCCTCATCTCAAGTTGGGTTAGGATTCTGTTGCCCTTCCCTTGACCTATTACACGCATTCCTACATGTTTTTGTTTGTTTGCTATAGGGCATGTGCACTCAAACAAGAGAGACAGAGAAACAGAGAGAGAGAGGGAAAGTGAAAAAAATCAACCCTTGTGGGGATAGGTCACACAGCAATCCCTGTTCCTCCATTCTCCCCTTGGGATTTGGGGCACACATGCACACACACCTCGTATGTTTTTTAAGCTGCTGTGATCCATACTCAAATCGAGCAATTAGTCATGTGGGATCCAGCCGCCTTAATCACCAAGCCACAGGTTAACCCCTCATTCCTACATTTTATCTTCATTTTATTATACCTACATTTCCCTATTAAACACACGCACTTTCCTTTCAAATCTGCTCATTGAAGTTTTCTCTATTATTCAAGTTCCTCTTAAGTTCCATCTCCTCTTAGTTCTATCCTCTTAAATTTTCTGGATTAATCTTTTTTTGGGGGGGTGGGGGGAAGAGGTTTTTGCTATAGGGCGTGTGCGCTGCCAGAAATACAGAGAGAGACAGAGAGACAGAAAGCGAGAAATCACTCCCCAGGGGGGATGACCACGCCACAATCCCTTCTCCATTCTCCTCTCGGGATCCTGGGCACACACTCACACGCGCCTGGTGCTAGTTTAAGCCACTGAATCTGGGACTCAAATCGTGGTCAACTACATGGGAGTCTAGCAACATAGCCATTACATCATCTGCTGGCCCCAAGAGTAATCAATCTTAATAATAAGTTTTGACTAGCTTTTAACTTGTGCCAGTTGTTACTGCCGTGCAAGACTGGTGTGCACGTCTTTGCTCCCTAACTAAATTGTTAGGATTTTTGAAAGTAGAAGGCATTTCTTCTTCTTCTTCTTCTTCTCCTCCTTTTCTTCTTCTTCTTCTCTTCTTCTTCTTCTCCTCCTCCTCCTTCTTTTTAGATTTTTGTCATGTATGTATACTTGTCAGAGAGACCCAGAGAGAAGGAAAGTAAGAAATCACCTCTCAGGAGGATGGCCATGCTGCAATCCCTTCTTCTTCATTCTCCTCTTGGGATTTTGGGCACGCATGCACATGTACCTGGTGTGATTTTCAAGCCACCTGCTCTGGAACTGGAACCATGTTTGGCTATATAGGAATCCAGCACCTAATCCTTGGCCCCAAGGGTATTTCTTACTTTTATCTTTTCCAGATCCCCTGTCAAAGATGCCCAAGGGAAACTTACAGAATGACTGCATGACTTCTGGAATGGGAGGGTGTGGATCCATCCTCTTCACCCCCCATCAATTCTTCCAGATCCTTAAGAACACTTCTTTACAAATGAGTGAGAATCTAGGTTCGAAGTCATTGAGGATTTTTTTTCCCTCCCGTCATTTCGGTTTTTCTTGGTCTCCTCTCTCCAGCTGCTACAGTGCCCAGAAGTGGCAACCACAGTGGATGACATCGCCACCCACATCCTGGCAAACTGGTTCACTTGCGAGGAGGTGGCCACAGTGAAGCTGTTGCTGCAGGTGGCAGAGATCTTCGCGAAGGACAGACACTTGGTAAGCTGGGGCAGGGGCCAGGGCGTGCTCTCCACAGATGACCCTCAGGGAAGGAGTGGAGAGGCTGGTGTATGCAGTCGTAGGCGGAGCGGGATGCACTCTTTGGATCTGACCGAGAACATTCTTGGGAGGCCAGGCCACAGAAGACACAGGAAACATTCATGTTCCCGCCTTCCATAAAAGGCTCCTTGAGGAGGTTTTTCCGATGGGTCATTGCTCCCAGATGTACCTTCCAGGTCTCCTGAAGACTGCTATCATCAGGGAGGGGAGAGGCGGTGGAAATGGCACCCTAAGGTCTGGCAGAACCTTTTGCTGTGGAGGATGGAAGGGACCTGCCCCAATGCCCTTCTGGGCAGCTCACTGCCACCAGCTCCAGGAGGAGATAGCCGTAGAGTGGACAACCCCTGGCTGCCACCCGAGCGGCTGGGCTGACTTGAATGAGAGCCCTGGGCTTGGCAGGTGTGCTCCCCCCGCCCCGGGGGCTGAGCAGTTGCTGCCGCGCAGGTGCGTCGCCTGCGCATCCTGCAGCCCTACGTGCTGGGCCGCTGCTAAAAAGCCTCGTGGTTGGGTGGGTGGCCCCACCCCCCCGCCGGGGCTGAGCAGTTGCTGCCGCGCAGGTGCGTCGCCTGCGCATCCTGCAGCCCTACGTGCTGAGCTGCTGCTACTCGTCGAGCAACGACATCGTGGTGGAGACTTTCCGGGTGCTGAAGAGCCTCGTGCAGCACCTCGGCTGGCAGCAGTCCTCCTCCTTCCTTATCCAGCTCTCCTTCTCGCTTGTGCCCTTCTTCGAGGAGGTGACGGTCTCTGGGGGGCATCATCTCTGTCTCTGTCTAGGCGTCTGTCAAATGAGGAGTTGGGAGGAAAGCTCTCAAAAGGCCCTTCTAGTTAGAACCTGCAGCTCCCCTGTGGGGCCGCTCTGGTCCTGCTCTTGCATTGCGATCATAGAGGGGGTGATGTGGCTCAGCAAGGGAATGGGGAGCATGCAGGTGGAGGGGCTGGAGCTCGGGGCCGCCCGTCCTGGGTGCCCGGTGTCTTCAGCATGTGTGCGTCTTCCCACCCAGGAGTCCGAGTACCTGCGTCTGACGGCCTTTGAGATCTACGGAAGTCTCTTGGCCAAGATCAAGAAGAGTAACCTAGTCTTCCCCCTGAAGCACCAGGTCCTCAACTTGATCATCCTTCTTGTGCTCCACTTGAAGGATACGAATAGCAGGGTGGCCGAGGTGAGAGCCACCATGGAGCCGGGTCCCCAGCACCCCCATTCAAGGGGCAGGTAGCTGCTCAGCCCGATAGCAGGTGAGGGCCGGGGCACACGGCTGGATGAGGCTGAGGGAGTCAACTAGTCCCTGCCCTTGGAGAGTTTAGTAAGAGACTAGAGGAGGCCAGAGGCTTGCACCAGAGTCTCCTCTACTCCCTACTCCCTGCGTGGTCACTGATCCCCAGTGGAATACCAGGGTGTGATGGCGCCAAGGATGACAATCCCTGGAATGGCCCCAGTTCTATTCCCTGCTTGCCGTCCTTGGCTTCAGTGTCTCCCCCACATGCTGCTTTCCCACACTCCCTTGCCACTGAGTGGAGAGGATCCCTGGGCAGGGAACTCCCCTGGGACTGAGAGGCAGTGCCAGGAGGCAGGTGGGTGGTAGACGGGAGGGCCTGGGGCTGGCCTGTGTTCTAGAGTAGACAGGCCCAGCTCTGAGCCCAGGAGACCCAGGAATGTGAACCACAACTCGAAAACTTAAAAACTGGCCAATTTGATTTGTAACAGAACACCTCGTTCCACAGAGAGGACCGCTTTGCCACTGCTGAGGCCCCTTAGGTACACCAGAAAATGCTGCTGACCAAGCCACCAATGGGGACATTGTCTTTGTGGGGCAGAGTCCTGCCTGGCCAACTTAGTGGCCATATTCTCAATTGAGAACAGGGGCCAGTCCACTGGGCATTAAGACTTAAGGGAAATTTTTTTTCAGAGAGACTGTTTTGCTCATGGAAAGCCATGGGTGTGAATAAGGCTGAGGAGGGTTGTCCTGTCACTCTGGGGCTCAGTGTCAAGCCACAGCAACTGGAAGGTCACCAGACTGTGTCCTTAATGTCCCATTGGAAGGAAAAGGGCTTGTGTGTAGAGCCAGTCCTGGACCCCTCCTGAACTCAGGACCCCGTCAGGTCACCGGAGTCCCCATCCCCCAGACTAGCCTCAGTGCAGTCTCACCTCCCTCTCTGTGCAGCCTGCACGTCCCTGCCCCAGCCCCAGCCCCAGCCTGCAGCTCCCCTGGCTGAGCATCCTTGTCTCTCCAGATCTGCCGGCTCTCCCTCTGTGACACAGCAGCCTTCTTGGGCTGGTCAAAACTCAGAGCAGTGTTTGCCAAGAAAGATGTCTGGACCATCCTGCAAGGCCTGGTAAGCCAGGTGCTTTCTCAGCCTCGCCCGGGCAGAGGAGGCAATGTCCCTAGCAGCCCAGGGACTCTTCCTGCAGCTCTGGGGTTCGCAGTGCCAGCTGCAGCAGCGGCAGCTCAACCTGAGATGCTCCTTGAGCACTGACTTTGTGCTCGGCACCTAAACGTGGCTCCTGCCCTCTCCTTGCTTCCTGAGTTGAAGAGCCAGTCATTGAACTGTGGGAAAATAATATTTTATAAGAGATAGATACATTCTGGGCATGGATTACTAGAAACGAGTTTTTTAAATTAGATTTTTCTTTTATAGAATTATTTAATTTTATTATTATTATTATGAAAAATTTTGCTATAGGACACATGCACTTACCAGAGAGAGAGAGAGAGAAAGTGAGAAAGCAAGCCACCTGGTCCTGGGCTTGGACCAAATTTGGCCATGTGGTAATCCAGTGCCCTAACCACCATGCTACCTGCTGGATCCATAAGCAAGGTTTTGATTGCTGCAAATATGCATTAGAAATGGGTGTGTTTAAGCCAGCAGGTGGCATGGAGGTTAAGGCAGCGGGATCCCACATGGCCAACCATGCAGTTTGAATCCCAGACCTGGGCGTTTGAAAACATGCAGTTTGAATCCCAGACCTGGTAGTTTGAAAAATACACTGGGTGGGACCAGCAGTTAGCGTAATGGCTATGTTGCTGGACTCCCATGTAGTCGACCACAGTTCGCGTCCCGGACCTGGTGGCTTGAAACTCACGCCGGGCGCGTGTGTGTGCGTGCCCAAGTACCCGGGAGGAGAATGGAGAAGGGATTGCGGCGTGGCCATCCCCCCTGGGGGGTGATTTCTCACTTTCTGTCTCTCTCTGTCTCTCTGTCTTTCTGGCGAGCACACGCGCCCTATAGCAAAAACCTCTCCCCAAAAAAAAGAAAAAAAAAAGAAAGAAAAAGAAAAACACACTGGGTGCGTGTGCATGCATGCTCAAAATCCTGAGAGGAGAATGGAGGAAAAGGGATTGTGGCATAGCCATCTCCTCTGGGGGTTGGTTTCTCACTTTCCCTCTCTGTCTCTCTCCAGTGAGCATATGCACCCTATAGCAAAAAAGAAAGAAAGAAAGAAAGAAATGGGTGTAATTTATTTCATCATTTTGACAAACCAAAACACCACCCCTCTAGTTCCGTGATTCCCTCCGGGGACAACACAGCCCACCCCCGGGCAAGAACCAATCAGTTGTTTGGATGAAAGAAAGTGGGCTCCCCCAGTAGTTAGGAGGAGCAGGAAATCCTGCTTCTAGACAGTGTCTGACATTTGTGTTGGCAAGTATCTTGCAACATAAAACATCATGTGGAGCAACTGAACAGCAAGACGAGCCAGCTGCTTGGGCTCAGACTGCCCCAGCGCTGTCTCAGCAGGAGGGTGCAGGCGGGAGCTGGAGGTGAGCCTGGGCCTGTGGTTGAGCAGGGGATGCAGCTGCAGCCATGTGCCCTGGCAAGCCCCCCGCAGGAGACCGTGTAGGCACAGCATTGCCCTGAGGACCCCAGGAAACACCATCCAAGGATCTCACAAAGGAGACTAGGGAAGAAAATAGGGAAAAAGTCAGAGGACAGGAACATGAGGGTCATGGTCACCTAGGAAGGATGCAGTTTCAGGAGGCCGTGAGTGGTCAGCAGTGTGACTGTGGTATGAGTCCAGGACTAAAGACTGGACATGCATTTTGGATTGGGACCATGATAACCACTGCTGGCCCGTGCCAGTTGAGGTCAGTGGTGGGAGGAGGAGGCTGTGGTACCCGAACCCAAGGGGTGTTTGGATGACTTCAAAAGATGGAGGAGGTGAGGACCAACAGTTAGCATAATGGCTATGTCGCTGAACTCCCATGCAGTCGACCGTGATTCGAGTCCTGGACCTGGTGGCTTAAACTCATGCCAGGTGTGTGTGCATGTGTGCCTAAGATCCCGAGAGGAGAACGGAGGAGAAGGGATTACGGCGTGGCCATCCCCCCTGTGGGGTGATTTCTCGCTTTCTGTCTCTCTTTCTGGAGAGCGCATGTGCCCTATAGCAAAATAATAACAATAACAATAATAA